GCGTGATGTATGCCCGGCCCTTCAGGTCTCACCCAAGATATCCACGATTGTTGAGACATATTTTGCTTACCATTTGCAAAGACAGTATTTAACAATGAATAGGAAGGCACCATGCTGCATCTTTTAGAAAATACACAGCACTAAAGCGAGCGAGTGGGAGCAGAACTGTGGAACAGAGTTCATCAAGCTTTTTGAAAGCACATCAAAGTCAACTAAGCCAGCTAAGCTCTCGACAACAGAATATTTAGGTGTGTCCATGCTTTACTCGTGCACACAATAGGCTTAAATTACAGTTAGATTTTACAGCTGCGAGAACAACAACACAGAACATCACAGAGGATGAAGAGGTGAAGGAGTTCAATAATTCCTATATACATCATAACAACAATTTGTTTATCCCACTTCTTCCCTTTCTCTGCCCTCCTACTTGATTGAAACATAAAAGTCGATGCAGTACAATTCGCTTAAAGCATGTCCGGTAAATGGCCTCATAGCTTGTGCTGGCTTCAATCTTGCATGAATTGCGAGAAATAAGATTGGAGACATTCTTGGTCGTCTCATTATTATAGGACTTAGCAAAATGATGCGAACAAACCTGAAAACATTTCTTTTCAGCAAGACTACATCGCAGCAAAAAAGCGGCTAATGTGAGTTATGTGTTCAATTTTAGCTTTATATTTGGAAGGCTACTGTAGGAGCGAAGGGCAAGAGCAGTATTAGTGGAGCGGCCGTGAAAGCTTCGCGCATAACTTCACCATTGTAAATAATGCGCTCCAGGCGCTTCACGGCTGATGAAGCCGCGTGCGCGCCTAAAGATTTTGCGCCTTCGCCATGCAGCCAGCAGCAGTAGCCTATACACTTGACGAGAACAGTATTTATGTGCCTATTTGTTTACGAAATACGCATAAGATGCGCCAAAATGACCAAAAGGCAATAAGGAACCACCTTGCTTGGCTCAGCAAATCGTTCTTTCATCTTGAAAGGTGAGGGATACCCTGTCGAGATCCCATAGCCCTTTGGTAAACCTCACGCGATTTGGCAATAATCCAATTGTATAGAACTCATCGCAAGGGTTTTCTGCATGTACTGAAGATAGGGCATTTTACCGCCTACGAAAGTTATACATGCTGTGCATTTGGGATTTGCCAGTATTGAGTTTGACGAGATCTGGCAAATTGCCACATCGCGTGGCGCTGAAATGGCGTGAGGTGTGCCCACCGCCATACCCGGACGCGGAAAAATGAAAGCATTCAAAAGGACATGAGTCACACACTATTACAATATATTCTTGCATTTTCGGCTAGAGTCATTGACAATCTTTTGTTCCTATGCATCTTCTTCTTACATTTTCTACTTTAGTCTTAGACAGTCTTCTGTTTCTATTTATCTTTTACAATCTCTTGAGTGGAATGAACTAAAAGTTTTGCAACTAAACCATTTTCACAACTTTTGCAGCTTTCTTGGGAACTACTGAAGAGGGGAGCTGCACGTCAGGAGGTACGCCGCGCGCGGCGGCCGCTCCGCCGCGCAAGCCGCGTTCGAATCTTGGGGCCCACAAAACCCCCGCTGATGAAGATTCCCCGGGGCAAAAACAGGGGGGTGGCGTGGGGCAGATACATGTCTGGATGCCTTAAAGGCAGTGTCCGGGCAAAAACTCGATTTTGAGATTTTGTGCTTACCCGGGCCTATTCGCTATGCTGAATCCGAAAATCCACATTGGAGAGCGCGAAAACGGCGAAAAAGGGCTCTAATATAGGAGGGAAATCAGCAGGTGGGCAGGGCTTTCCCCAGTGCGATTTCACGCTCCCAGCTTCCGGAGCGATTTTCTCGATTCCGCTGGCCGTTCTAACATCGCTACCGGCCAAGTGCGAATGATTGACTTGAAACCGGAATCAAAAAGATCGACCCCGAAGCTGGGAGCGTGAATTCACCGTGGGGAAGACCCCGCCCACTCGCTGACTTCCCTCCAGTATTAGAGCCCTTTTTCGTCGTTTTCGCGCTCTCCAATGTGGATTTTCGGATTCAGCATAGCGAATAGGCCCGGGTAAGCACAAAATCTCAAAATCGAGTTTTTGCCCGGACACTGCCTTTAAGTAACACTGCGCCAGGAGCGCTGCTATAGTGTCGGCTGAAGTACGTTGCGGCGTCGCTTCGCGAAAATTTCGCGCCGATCGTACCTCCTGACCGTTCCCCGAAGAAGGGCACCAAGAAAGCTACTCCACCGTTATAGTGCTAAGCCCCGAAACCGGTTGAGTGTAAAAGTGTTTAAAAAAATTCATTTTAATTTCAATTCAAGCTTTAAGAACTAATGCACATAGTAATTTTTCATTCTTCATTTCCCCTTTAGGGTTTTCCATGACTAACCAACTCAATTCAAGAGGACGAATCCGTCAGGGGACCCCGGGCGAACGGGAAGGGGGACCTCAAAAAGGGATTGCACCAACCTTTAACATAATCAAACGGTTGTGCCATGTGAAGTTTCATTACGTAGAACGTTAGGTAGAACGCTATCTTACCCTATTCCAATCCCAGTCTCTTCATTAATGACTACATTAATGACTTTTACACCTCTTGGTATACTGTGGATTTTTTATGGCTTGGTAGTCGCCTTAAGGCAATACTCATCGTGGGCTACATGTTTGTGCAAAAATCTTCTCAAATGATCACGTAAAATCTTGAGAAATTGAACATTTACGCAACTAATTCTTTTTGGCGCCATCTTTGTAAAGTAACCAACTTTAGTTGGACTTTTTGGGCTAAAGTCCATGGCTTGTACATTAGCTTGTCAAACATATCCACGACTTTGCAAAAAGTTTATATACGGACCCAATTTTGCTGGTCAGAATTTAAGTGGACCCGTTTCACGCGCAGTTTCTAGGGGATCCACTTATCGGATCCGCTTGTGCTTTTGCACAATGGACTTTCCTGCTGCTTGAATGTGCTATGCAAAATTTGGGCTCAAGAGGTTGGCTGGAACTCTCCCTACGAATTTCATAACGGACAGACAGACAGACACACACACACGTACAAAAAGACGTAAACAACCCTTAGCTCGTTATTATAAGTCATGATAATAATATATATTATATATATTGATCATATATTATAAACTATAGTAGTGACCATATTGGTAGACTAGAGGATCAAATGAAACATGTTAGTGGTTTTATAGTTGGTTTTATTTATTACGATGTTAGTCATTTTGATAGACTACTTTACTAAATTGGTTGCTTGTAGTAGATGTGTGAAATAACTATACTGATTAATGATATGTGCTATTGATTAGGATCGTATGAAATAGCTTAATTGAAGGCTGGTATAAGACATATATCACATCAGTTAACTATATATTGTGCAAATTTTGATGTAGAATGTGTAATAATCTTTTAATTTTATCGTAACTGTAAAATTCGTATTTATATAGTACAAAATTATCCTTATCTAAGCATTTGAAAATATTTGTATAAATCATGTTTTCATTGTATCCATTGGAAATAAGTAAGTTTCGTAACTGTAGTATTTTTTTTGACAAAATCTTCAAGATAAGTGCAAGTACGGGCAACTCTTAAAGTTTCTGTGTAAACAATTGCGTTTTTGATGTGATTGGATACACCAGAAGTAACGTGTATAAATCTTTTTACTTGAAAAGGGAAACTATAATTTTTGTTATACATTTTAGTTGTGTTATTAATGATTGTAATGTGTGAGTCCAAATAATTACAATGTAAATTATCTATATGAGTAGTTTCAAAACTTAGTTTGTTATCATATACGTTTTTGATTATATTATGAATTGTAGGTCCAGTGCGGTTGTGTATGATTAATAGATCATCCATATAACGAAATGCAAAATGTTGTTTATTGTTATTTACTTTATTAACTATATATTTGTATTCATACCAAGATAGTGTCAGGTCTGCTAACAATGGACTAAAATTACCGCCTTGTGGTACCCCTATTTTTTGTTCAAAAATATATGTGCTAGATCTACAGAAACTGTTATCAAGAATATAATCAATGTAATACAATAAATCTGAAATGGTGTAGTTTCTGTGGCTAGATTTTGTGTTTATATTATCGGTGTAGTATAATTTGTTAAAGCCATTATATGTCAGATATTTTCTGTTTGCATTCTTGAAGCATAATTTGAGAAGTTCCTTGAGGTTGGTTTTTATTATGTTATGTGGTAGGCTAGTAAACATATTTGTGAAATCAGCTGAGTATAATTGCATGTTGTTTATGTTGATATTGGATAGTTTATCCCTAATATTAGTATTGTCTATTGACCAATAATTATATGAAGTTTATGTCAAAAGTCCTCCTTTCTTGTAACTTAACTTTTTAATTAACTTCACTCAATTTTCTGTGCCGTACAGTGCCGTACTCACTCACTAACTTCACTCAATTTTCTGTACGGCACAGCAAATTGAGTGAAGTTTTATATGAAGTTCGTTTTTTATATTTGATCGCTTGTACATAGTTTTTAGAATGTATTTTTATGTGGTGAAATATATATTGTAACTCCAAGGTAAGAGGTTTAATGCTACTGTGTGTAGCTCCAGTGATGAATCTGAATTTAATAGGGTTTTTATGGAGTTTTGGTACACAGTATATTAATGGTATGTTATTAATATTTTGCAGTGGTAACTTGTTATTTCTGCAAAAGTCAACATGTCTTTTTATTATATCATTTCTTCTTCGTATAAATTATATGTTTCATTTTCATTTGAAACTTCGTTTTTCTTATCAAATGTGATCCCTAATTCTTTCATTATTGTTTGTATGTAGAATTTTTTACAGATAATACCGAAGTTTTACTTGCTTTATCAAGTGGGCAAATTACAAATTGATTTTTAAGGTATTTTATGTAACTATTAGGTTGTCAAGAAAATATTGTTGGTTTTTATTTGCTTGCTTTAACAAAGCAACCAAACTCAACCCAACAAAGGGTAAGGGATACTGTTCGATAGAGCAAAGCAAGCTTTACAAGAAGGCACTCATGTCTTTGCGCCATGCTCGATCCACGGAGAGTTCGAACTCAAAATCTAAAGATTTCTAAATCCCCAAAAACTCGAAAAAAAAATCAGATCTTCGTCCAAATAATTTCTATGGACCTCCCACTCGCTCACATCCATACTATCGATATCTGATATCCATATGTGCAACTGCCGTATTTCCTTGACTAGAACTGAGAAAACGAAAATTTCCCTGATTTTCTCAGAGCAATGCTGAGCCGTTCTTGCATATGTAGTTCTATACTACAAGCTTAGGTAAGTATAACTGTAGATTTTCAGCCCATTCCAAGCGGTAGTTTTCGAAAAATAACGAATTCGGATTTTTTCGTTTCAGGTTCAGTGCTAAAATCGGCATTTCTCGAAAAGTATCGCTCGAAATAGGCTGAAAACCTACAGTTACACTTACCTAGGCTTGTAGTATAGAATTACATCTGCAAGAACGGCTTAGCATTGCTTTGAGAAAATCAGGGAAATTTTCGTTTTCTCAGTTTCTAGTCAAGGAAAAAATACGGCAATCGCACATATGGATATCAGATATCGATAGTATTGATGTGAGCGAGTGGGAGGACCGTAGAAATTATTTGGACGAAGATCTGATTTTCTTCGATTTTTTGGGCATTTGGAAATCTTTAGATTTTGAGTTCGAACTCTCCGTGGATCGAACATGGCGCAAAGACATGAGTGCCATTTTGTAGAGCTTGCTTTGCTCTATCGAACAGTTCCCCTTACCCTTTGTTGGGTTGAGTCTGGTTGCTTTGTTAAAGCAAGCATATAAAAATGGACATTGTTTTCTTGACAACCTAATACATTCAAAATTGTAATTTTGCTCCTTTGGGTCTTGTTTATTTTTAGTTTGGTTTTATAGAGAAGTGGTTTGAATCTAAGTTTAAATTTTTTTAGAAGAAAAGTTTCTATGTTTATAAGTTCTTCAAGTTTAAGTTTGTATTTTTGATGTAAGTATTCATAATGAGTTGATAGATAGTAGAGTAAGTCTCTGCGTGACGAAAACAAAAAAATCTTCTATTTCTTCACCGTTTCTAGTTGTATTTCGAAAACTTGTACTTTACATGATTATTTTTAGAAAAGCCACATCGTTCAAGATGTTCTGGATTTTTTGCGGGATGGCCTTCGTGATGGTTTGCCAATTGGTGCTAATCACGATGATCCGAAATGAGGCCGAAAGATACCAAAAACAGCTACGTGCAATTTCAAGCCGCTCCAGTCATTTGGAAGCTCAACGCACCAGCTCTTCAAGCAGCGCTCCCAGCACTCCTGGCACACCGACTCGAAGTAAAAGAAAGACTATTGCATCGAAGACAGCTATTATTAGGGGAAGAGTTTCACACAAGAATATGCCCAAAAGCGGAGACTGGTATCAGTTCAAGAAGCCGTAACGTGAATATTCGGATATTGAATAATTTCAGTCCAAATGCAAAAGATGTCTAACATTTGATAAAACTCGTATCCTTTTCTTGTGTAACTTGCCCCAAGCGTTACCGCTGGGAAAAGCAATTAAGTCAATTGCTTAACACGTTGACGACGAGCCATTTTTTGAAGGTTTGTCCCTGTGGACGAACCGTTTCCAGGCATTTTCACAGCCGGCTGCACATATATATGCATGCATCTATGCGTGAGATACACAAATTCAAGTGGGCGGGGCAGCTCCGCCCACTTTTGGCAAGCCCCGCCCACTTCTCAAAAATGCTGGAAATTGCTCAAAATCAATGAATTCGTGCAAATTCCGGCATTTTTGAAAAGTGGGCGGAGCTTGCCACCGAGGGGGTGGAGCCTGCATTACGGGGGGCGGGGTCAAAATCAAGATTATTTGAGGTTCCCCTGTCATCTATGAGCTTTTCTATGCGATTTGAGAACGAAGAAAGTTTTTTTGCAGAGGGCAATGGAGTGGGCGGAGTTTGCCAAAAGGGGGCGGGGCCAACATGAAATACTTTCGAGCCTAACTTGATTATATGAACACAAGTTGGAACCATTATGCACATTAAAACTGATGTTCAGGGTGTCGCGCACCATTGCGCGACATCGTCCACAGGGACAGACTGCCTGTCGCGCACCATTGCGCGACACCGTCGTCAACGTGTTAAATGTCTGTTTTTACGTGTGTGCTGACTAGAAAATTCATTTTTGAACTGATCAACCGAACTTGGCATGTTCACACTTCGGCGAGGAGGGGATATTATAGGCTAATTTCGTTTAATTTATATCGAATCAATGAATTTCCTCCAAAACTAGCAGCAGTGTTCCGGGAATAGGAGTTGGCACCTTGGGATAAGTGGATATGGTGGTCACAGAAATAAAATTTTGAAAAAATGCGTATTGTATTGCCGATTTCATACGTTCGCAAACTTTGGGCTGGGAAAGTCGAAGTTGATACACATTTATTTATTTATTTATTTATTTATTTATTTATTTATTATTTATTTATTCATTTATTTATTTACTTACTCACTAATCGGGGGTAGAGTTGGCCGAGTGGTTAGTGCCCTTGACTACGGCGAGGAATGTCACGGGTTCGGTTCCGCGGTGGGTCCAATTTCTTTGGCAAACTCTTGCCCCACGAATCATCCAGCGTCAAGCTGCCATTCATTCATTCATTCATTCGTTATAGAATGAATTAAGGTTGAATCCGTCCAGCTTCCTGCTTTCCTCACCTCCTATTAGGTTTTTTGGATACCTCGAGCGGGAAAATCTGAGCGGAGCTTTTCAACAAGGTCCTGATAATGTCCAGTCTCAGTGAGTTCCGCAACACAAAGAAGGTGAGTGTCGTAACCGACACGACCGCATGTTTTGCCGTCTTGTACTTGTGTTTTGACCGCTTCTCTCAAACCGTGCACATGTTCAAAACATAGTTTTTTCCTATTTACCATTTCCACTGAACAAAGGAAGCTGCCAGCTGGCAGCCTCCCGAATACTTACTGTCTCGGGTCCGCCCCTTTTCTCTTTAGTGTTCGTTGGAGTGTTTGTACAAGTTTGCCGGAGAACCCGGCTCGAAATAAAGAACTTAATCCAACCGTGTCTGACAGAAGCACGGTAAAACAAAAATCCACTGAACCCCAGCACAGAGAGATTCATTTTAGGTCACTACCTATCTGAGCAATCTTACTTAACCTTACAGGTTTTGCTTGAATTTGAAAATGTATACCAACGGAGTGGCCGTCGGAGTCACTGAACGAATTTCCTGAAGACCTGCTCCACTCATCCTCGTCATCGAATGTTTTCGTAGAAGCATTTCACGAAACGATGCACTTAGGCGAATGCTGACCTAGGTCGGCAATGCCGACTGCACGGTACCAGAAACGCCAAAGTTTTTGGTTTTCTGCACGGAAACTGGATGCTGGGTGTTTCAAGAACATTTGGTGCAAAAGTGGGAAGGCGTTTCTGCACAAGCAGAATAGCAAAATCTTATTATCGGTAAGTTCGCATTTCAAAGTGCTGTTCAAACAACGTAATGTTTTGCTTCACCGGATTGACAGTGGAAAGCAGATAAGGCACTACTTTTGAACACATCTAAAATACCTACTTTAATCATCTTATGATCCATAGTACCTCATATATTACCTCATATATTAGATCAGGTTAAGTGAAGGAAATTTACTGCAAGTAAAACAGATTGGAAACTGAACGATAAGTGTCGGATTTTCAGTGAAGCAAAGCATGTCTTCGTATGTATTAGGTCGGTGCAAAAGTTTTGTCAGTATTTTCAATCCATCGGCAATCACGCTAGAATGAAGATAAACAAAGACTTTAAAATATATCCGATGCAGAATTTCTTCCTCTTTCCAGCTGCTAAACTCACATTGTGTTTCGTTGCGAGAGTGACGAGATATTTGCTGCAAATTACAACCACTCGTTTTTACCATGTCCAACTTTCGCTAATTTTCAAATTTTTATATGATTTCGAAGGAGCACACCATCAGATAGGGCAAACCTTTTGCCAGTAGAAGCAATTTTTTGTAGCCCTACAGCTTGTCTTTCAGAATTTCTACGATTTACTTTTTTGAAGTGACCAAATTATACATTCAGCCAATTTTGATCTCGTAGAACATAAACTGTTAAACACTTCAGTCACCATTCGATGCAGATTTTTCTGCATCGAATGGTGACTGAAGTACACCATCAGATAGGGCAAACCTTTTGCCAGTAGAAGCAATTTTTTGTAGCCCTACAGCTTGTCTTTCAGAATTTCTACGATTTACTTTTTTGAAGTGACCAAATTATACATTCAGCCTATTTTGATCTCGTAGAACATAAACTGTTAAACACTTCAGTCACCATTCGATGCAGATTTTTCTCCTCTTTCTAATACTTGTCTTTTTTTTTTGCCGAGACAGGAGAAGTTTGTGGGAAAAATCGCGGTATTTCTCAGTTTTAGGAGTGCGCACAGGCGCAACCTATGTTTCAAAATCTCCATAATTTGAAGCGAAAATCGCTCATTTAATTTGTAATGGTAGCGGTAGTAATAATCATGTGCTGAAACCTCAGTTTTCTGTGGGTTCTGCAGTGTTTGGTGCAATAACAGGCTATGCACTTTTTCCAAAACACAAGAGTTTTAGAAAATTACTTAGCAAAAATCTATAAAAGCAGCTGATAGAAAGAAAAAATTGCATACGTTGGCAAAAAGTTAGCCCTATCTGCTGGCTTTTAAGGCTCCTTCGGAAGTCTCATACAAAAATTTTAATTAGCGAAAGTTGGACATGGTAAAAACGAGTGCTCTGACATTCGGTCCGTGCGGCGCCTTGTAGTGCGAGGGGGCCGAGCGCTCCGTGCGCGCGGGCCGAACGATGAATGCGCGCGGGCCGAACGGTGAATGCGCGCGGGCCGAACGGTGAATGCGCGCGGGCCGAACGGTGAATGCGCGCGGGCCGCACGGTATCGAAAGCGCTCCGTCCGCAAGCTACTAGAGAATACTCTTTTATAGATCTTCTTTTTCTTCTTTCGTCGTGCCGTGAGCATTCTCAACTTCACACTTCAAAAATCCGAATTCAAAAAATTCGAAAATTCGAATTTAAATTCATAGAATTCAAAATTTCAAATTTTGCACCCATTCGGGACGCTTTCGGACGATAACCTCCGTAGAAGCAAAAAACTCCTTATGTTCCTGCGATTACTCAAATGCCAAGAAATGATATCTAAATCCCACGAGTGATGGAGCAGCCTAGTCATGGCGTCGTACCTCACGCGGGTACCCGTTACGCTTATAGCGTGTGAGAATTGGAGGCGCGCGGGCGGCACGGGGAGATTATATTGCGCGCGGGCCGTAGCTAAGGATACAAGGCGCGCCGGCCGCACGGTACATGACCCCGCCCGTAAATCTAGGCGCGCGGGCCGCACTGTTTGCCATTAACAAGCGCGCGCCGCACGCACCGAATGTCAGAGTGGTTGCAATTTGCAGCAAGTATCTCGTCACTCTCGCAACGAAACACAAAGGGAGTTTAGCAGCTAGAAGGAGGAAGAAATTCTGCATCGGATTCTTTTTGAAGTCTTTGTTTATCTTCATTCTAGAGTGAATGCCGATGGATTGAAAAAATTGACAAAACTTTTGCACCGACCTAATATATCAGCGCATTCAGGTCAATAGGATGTATCGAAGGAGTGTGCCATCAATGTAGTTTATCTAGTACTAGCTGGCTTACCCGGCTCCGCCGTATCCGGACCAAACTTGGCACACATACATTTCGGGCCCCGGCGGGTGTCACAGTTCACTTTTCGTTATCGATCGATGTCGATTTTACCGATTTTTATCGATTTTTTCGCAGAGTTCACCTACAGGGCTAGGAGTTGGCACAGGGGGGGGGGAAAGTGAGCATGGGGATTCCGAATACAATATTAGTTTTCAGAATTATCGGTTACTTTTATTGATTTTATCGATTTTTTGTAAATTTTGACATGCGAGGCTGGGATTTTGCACAGGGGGATAATCGAGCATGCTGATTACGAACACAATATTAGTTTTCAGGATCGTCCATTATTTTTATCGATTTTATCGATTTTTTGTAAAGTTTGACCTGCGGGGCTGGGAGTTTGCACAGGGGGGTAATCGAGCATGCAGATTACGAATACAATATTAGTTTCCAAGATCGTCCATTACTTTTATCGATTTTATCGATTTTTGAAAATTTGAGCTAGGGGACTGGAATTTGGCACAGGGGTGTAATCGAGCATGCTGATCACCCCCCTTGGGGATGATCAGCATGCTCGATTACCCCCTGTGCCAACTCCCAGCCCCCTAGCTCAAACTTTGCAAAAAATCGATAAAATCGATAAAAGTAATCGATAATCCTGAAAACCAATATTGTATTCGGAATCCCCATGCTCGATTACCCCCCTGTGCCAACTCCCAGCCCCGTAGCTCAAACTTTGCAAAAAATCGATAAAATCGATAAAAGTAATCGATAATCCTGAAAACCAATATTGTATTCGGAATCCCCATGCTCGATTACCCCCCTGTGCCAACTCCCAGCCCCGTAGGTGAACTCAGCAAAAAAATCGATAAAAATCGATAAAATCGATATCGATCGATGACGAAAAGTAGCCTATGACACCCGCTGGGGCCCGAAGTGTATGTGTGCCAAGTTTGGTCCGGATCGGTTCAGAAATGGAATTTTCTATTCGGAACATACGTACACACATACATACATACAGACAAACAGACATTCAGCTTTATATATAAGATAGCATGTAACATAAAGTCCCCTAAGCTGAAAAAAATGCGTGCTCTTTAGAAAGATCTAGTTTTCCGAGCTACTGCCTTCAACATCACGAATTCGTTCCCCTACCCCTGCGCAACATTGTCGTATGACGTTGAGTCAGAGACGTTGCGTGTATCACACGACAAACAGAACATTTGACAGCTAACCACTACAGGCAAATCCTCCGTTTCTCAAAATGTTCCTTGGAAGTTCCCATGCACTTTGACGGGTAGTGTTTGCGTCCGAGATCGGTGTAGCAGCGGAGTCAGCAGTAATGACGAAAACAGGAAGTGGGAAGCATGGAAAGGCGTATGATTCAGTCGTGAGTTCTGCTTTTACGGCTTTTTTATATGTAAAAATGGTTATGATTTTCCAGAGTGACAGTGAGACATTATCCTCATTGTCGAATCTGAGCTTATCGGACGATGATGATTCCACATCATCCGGAGACAGCAGCGACGTGGAGGATGGCGAAGTGATCGAAAGCGTTGACGATTCAGAGGAACGCGGAGGTAGGTTTACAAATTTGATAGGACGTTTTCTGTCTTCTTTTCTTTGTTGCTGTAAATTTGATTGCTGTATTTGAAGCCACTGGTTATCTAGAGCAAGTCGTTTGCTCCAGTGTAAACTTTTATAGATTTAGATTTCCGAGGTGAAGACTTGTCGCTCGACCAAGATGTGCTGCGAAGGTTGATGAGCGAGGAGGTGCTTGTTTTACATACTCTATACGCAAACTCAGTACTGTCTACTATTTAGGAAGTGACATTTGACCGCGCCAGCGCAAAAATCCCGGAATACTCTGTACCAACGAAAACGATCACGCCGGATTACGTGATGGTCAGTTTCGCTTTAATTTTGTAGCGACCATATTTCTGTGCAAGGTGTATATTGTACCACTATGCCTGCACTGCGATGGCATGGTTCATGTAAATAGTGGGAAAAGTCTAAATAGAATATGTGTGGACGTCTGAACCGGTCACGCTGCGGGTCTTCTGTTCGATTCTATACTTTGGGAAGGTTAGTTTCAGGCTGGCTCAGGAAACGTCCAATCCACCGGCAGCAGCAGTTTTCTGAATAATTTCAAGTCGTTGCTGAAGAATATACAGAAGATGAAAAAAGAGAGGCCAAAATTAGATCCTCCTGAGAAAATTCTGATTCACTCCTGCTGGCGATGTAAGTGATTTCTTTGTACATCGTCAATGCATTTTATTAGCTGTCGATACACTGCATAAGTCCTCTTCGCTTTTGCAACAACTTTGGAAAACAACCTAATTTTTGACAGAATTTTGCCATCAGAGGTTTGCTAGTATTAATTCTAGCTGCGCAGAGATCAAATCGTATGTCAGCAGTTCAGTCAAAGCTTCTACTCATAGTTCGATTGCTCTAACCTCTTAGGTTGCCTCTGTCACGAAGATGAGTCTTCTGAGTAGAGAAAGCTTTATTGTTCAGGCACGCAGAGCGCTGGCAGCAGTAGTTCTGCTTCGACAGCAAGCTCATCGTCCGACGATAGCGATTCAAGTTCTGATGACGAAAGCACTTCTGATGACAGTGTTGATTCTGATGATGCTAGTGATGACAGTGACACTGATGAAGACGACGATTGTGACTGCGACGACTCTGATGAGTACAGCGATGTAGAGAAGATGAACACGAGGCAGCGCAGTTCATACTTGCTTAGGAAAGAGGTATTCTGGCGATTTAGAGTTATATGTTGACTTTGTCGTCTTATAGTTTGAAGTGATCTGTCATCACTTGATGGTTGGGTATCTATAACTAAGTCATTTTTGATAACTATTTTGAGCACTTGTGAACTATTTTCAAATTGACTTATATGGTGTTAACTTGGGAAAGGGTAATATTCATACCTAAGGGTCACTTGTAGTCTGAGTGTTGTATAGTTCATAATATAGTTGCGGACTAAAAGTCATAGTATATAGGGTTACCGAAGGTTGAATTTTCATATCTTGCCACATCTCGATCTTTCACATCTATGGGATTGTTCAAATAATGTTTTTCTTTTCAGTTCGACAGGAAATATAAGAGTCGTGCGGCCCTATGCGAGGATATATGCTTCAACGAGCCTGAAGTCGTGAGTAGATATGTGATTTTCTTTTTCCATGTCAGTACCTTTTCTGCTACGTTTCTGGGCGCGTACGGTCTACTGTGTCGTTGCTCGCCTTCCGCTAAACAGAGTGGTCTGCGTCACAGTGTCTTTCCTGGTGAAACTCGCATTCCTTGCTGCACTCCGAACCAGAAGTAGGTTTAAGATTATTGCGACGTAGCCTTGTTTCAATTCTTTTTTTTTTCATCCAGTAATGCGAATGCTTTGCATCACTATGTCTTACAAGTTAGGAGACCCTCTGCCCCACTTGGTGAAGGCACTAGGACTCGAATAGAATTTGGTGAAGAGTCATTCGTGTTTCAAGGACTCTCGGTAAGATCTTCAACAGCTCCAAGGTCTACTTAGCGAATAAATCCGAAGTCAGAAAAATTGTGTTTTTTCAATTTAAAGTCACCCAATGCCATCATCACTTTAGGTTTTCTTTCATCGTGAATTACCCGAAGTATTGCCTAGAATGCCTGTATCGCGATGGACTAATGAATATGAGTTCCATTTTGAAAAGGCTCCCATGATAGACGTACGTTTTTTTTTCACGTCTGTTTTTGAGTCGCAGCTGTTTTTGTCACTTTTCAGTGTTTCACTGTGGAAGAACTAGATTTCTTCCATCAATACGTATTCGTGGACTTATTAGAGCTGTACGATGAACCACTGCGTGCATTTGGTGTTGACGATGGATGCCCCATTTACCATGTGATGCCACGTTTTGTATCTGAAAGAGGTATGAGCCACAGCACTATGTTTCAAAAGTCGAAGTATTGAGGATGCTCGATGCATACTTATAATTTTGTGATGTTACAACGTCAGTTTATAGTGGACTCACAGGTGGCTGCAGGCGTCTACTTCCAATGAGCGAAGTCATTCGTTACCTCTGTGATTCTTTCAAACCGTTGGTGACCGACAATGAATACGAACGCGTGGAAAACTGCACGGACGCGGAATTCACGAAAACACTTTTGTCAAAGAAATTTCAGCTAGCCGTAAATCCCAAAAAGGTATGCCTTTCTGAGATGTTTTTTTTTTCTGAAGCAGATGTTTTATCAGTTCATTATCCTGAAGTAATCTGTCCTTTTGAAGATATCATTTTATGATTTGGTAATTTTCTTGAAATTCCAGCTATTGGTTTTGAATTTATCTTATAAGACAAACACTCTTTTAGAGACCTTCAACTATCCGTGTTGATAACATCAAGAGAATGAATAATGGTATTGCGCTTGGTATAGAGCATAAGACATCACCGTGCGTTTTTTTTTTCATCTCGCAAGAGCTTTGCAAATCTCTTCTTGTCATTGTTTCAGACCTATAGCTTATGCTAATCTCAAGAATCCTGAGCTAGTAGAAGCACAGCGTCGATTGAGCAAACTGCGCCGATCACAGTCTAGCTTGAATTCGGGACAGTCGGAAAGGGAGCAGTTGGAAGATATCAATGCTTTACTCAAGCGCATTAGCGAGCTCAAACAACAAAGGTAATCCTTCATGTTGGCTCCATATTCCAGAAACGTAGCTGAATGCATATTGTTATCTAGTGTCAGCATGTGTCCTGTGCGCACTGCTGCGCCTAGCCTTCACAATTTTGCAGAAGTCTGTTATGGGTTTGAAGAGGTTAAAGGCGCACTTCTAAAATAATCAGTCACTTTGATCTATCGATCGCAGTGACTGATTTTTTTTAACCGCGATCGACATAAGTTAGGGTTTTTTATAATGAACAGTTCCACTAATGTGATACCATATTTTTTTGCGAGTCATAGAATGTGCGGTTTCAGGGCTAGCGCGCTCAATGCCATCAGAATCATACCTTGCACTGGATTCTACGCTACGGGGCTCTATGCAGATATAACCGCACATATTCTGCTTCTGGTGCTTGCAGTGAAACATGCCAGATTTCACTGGTCTCTCCTGGTCTGTTCCCTTATCCTGTTTGAATATTTCAGAACTTCTGTTCATGCCTTTTTAGGAATTTGAGAAGATTATTGGCCATAATTTCATAAATCGGACGCTTATAGAATTAGCTTTCACTCATCCGTCCTACAAAAACGATTTCGGTGAGGTGACTTTGTCATTTTTTCTGAAAAATGTGATCATCTCCTTCCTTGCAAGTTTTTAGGAACCAATGTTGATCATGTGAAGACAGCCCTCACTAACTGTTCATTTCGTCGATATGCACCTTTTACAGAGAATAACGAAAAGAAAAAAGGTGTCTGAAGTTTTTCCATTATCTCATTTGTTTCTCAATATTTTTTGATGTAGGTTTTCGAAATCTGATGCATATCATGGCCCAGTCCGGCTCAAGCAGTGCAGGATTGTCTAAAATTGCACACAACGAGCGCTTGGAGTACCTAGGAGATGCAGTGGTGGAACTAGTTAGTGATTCTTTCTTGTGTGCTTATATTAGGTTGGCACATAAGTTTTGCAACTTTTCCCATAACTTTATTCTTACTCAGTGTAGCACTCTGATTTTTTGGCATCATGTAGAGTGTGATGTAAGCTGCAAGTGTGCGCAAACTGTTTGATTTATAATAGCGTAGTAGAAAAAGTTTAAGCATTTTTCGAAAATCCTTGAAAATGGAGGTTTCACGGTTTTTTGGCAAACATGAAGCTACAAAATAGTACAAAATCTGAATCGAACATATCAAATAGAAATCAAAGAAAGGAATGAGATAAGACTTTTGAGAAGTAGAACAAGCCAAATGCGTCAGTTTGGAGGGCAATCTGTCACTAACTAACAAGGGATGGATACTAACTTAGGTTTGCTTTTAAGATGAGACACATACGTTTGGAATCAGCTTTGAACGCTGATTCCAAATATGCTATTTCTAGCTGCTTAGCGTTATTTCGAAGCGAGTTATGGGCTTGCTGTTGCAAGTAATCAACAAACTTCTGAATGTCGTACGACGGAGTGTGGATAAGAATCGGTTCTTAAAAAGTGCTAGGATGCTGAACTAGCATCGAATTAATTGTTTCGATCTTGAAAGAGAGCATTATACAGCTGCAAAACCACCTAGATGTCGGCAAAGTAGCATCAGTAAGGTCAAGAAGCACGCAAACTTTGCATAGAAAAGAGACTATAGCTCGCTTCCGAATAACACTAAGCAGCCTGGAACAGCATATTTGGAATCGGCGCTCCAAATTGATTCTAAATACATGTGTATCATCTCAAAAGGAGATTCTAAGTTAGTATCCTTCCCTTGTAAGCTGCGAAACCTCAGAATTCTCCAAAACTTCGATAGGTAATCCAATACGGTAAACACGAATATCATATTCATTGTCGCTCAGATAAAATCCATTTTTGATCTTACGGAAGTCTTTTTATGCGAAACAGGTCTCGTTTTTGTGATCAGCATGTCGAATCCCCATAGGCCAAGTTTCAGTAAATCTGACGCAATTTAAAACTTTTCCCATTTTACCGTATACCTACCGTAACCCTTACATAAGATGGCAAAATTTGGCAAAAATGTATCTATTTGCAGTTTTCATCATAATCCTTACATTGCCAGAAAATGAATGCGCTACGTTCGAAAAGACAAAAGTTAGATAAAAAGTTGCATTACTTATATGCCAACCTAATATTTCCTGCCAGTGGACATCGTTTATAAATCGCTAATGGTACCATACTTCAATAGTGTCATGTCACTCACTTTCAGGTGGTTTCAAGCAGGCTCTTCTTCATTCTTCCTCATCAAGAGGAGGGAGGTCTTGCCACCTACCGAAGTGCTCTCGTGCAAAATCGGAATCTTGCCGCTCTTGGAAAGGTAATTTTACATGACTTTTCCAGCAGAAAGAAGGCTGAGTCTTGCTTCAGAAACTGCGATTGGGAGACTGGATGATGTACGCACACGGAATTGACTTATGCGATGAAGAAGATTTTCGAAAGTCGTTGGCAAATACGTTTGAGGCGGTGTTAGCTGCTTTGTATTTGGACGCAGGAATAGAGGAATGTGATCGGTACCACTTTTGGTGTCTTTTAACTTTCCTGTACAAACATTATTGTTGTCGTTTTTAATACTCAAGCTTTTCGACTGCTTTCAGAATTTGTTTTCCAGCATATTCGCCAACGCCATGTTCGGAGATGACACATCTGTGAAGGAACTTTGGTTAAATGTTCCTGAGCATCCTCTGAAAGTATGTGGTACCATTTTCTTGTCTAGTTTTCTGCTGGATGAAGGCGCAATAGAGACTTTACCTTAGCGATTGCGTATCTGGCGTGCGAGCAACGTGATGCTGTCTTTGTACGCCGTCCGGACAAAAAATCACACACTCGTGTCCTTTGCCTTCGTCCGGCAGTAGACCTTACATCCTCTGTAAGCCTTTGAAAGTGATGTTTAGATCGAACAACCAGAGGGTGATCGCATGCTTATAGAAAGTACCGAAGAGCTCACTGAACTGACTGATCTTGAGAACATACTCGGTTTCAAATTCCAAAACATTCGATTGCTGGCGAAAGCGTTGACTAGACGTAATGTCCCCTACAATACTCTTACATGGTGAGGACGCAATACCCAGTATGATGCATATGTTTTTTTACTCTTATCCGTTTATCTCTTACGCAATGTCGCAAGTGGACATCTGTCCCCGTTTGTCTTTTCTGGGGGGGGGGGGGGGGGGGGACGGTCGCTTTTATCACTTTTTCATTAGAATGCATAACCTTCTTACAATATTGTTAAGTGGTAACAATCAACGACTGGAATGGCTCGGTGATGCAGTGTTACAGCTAATCATTTCGGACTATCTGTACCATCATTTTCCAAATCATCATGAAGGTCATCTTTCTTTACTCAGAACTTGTCTGGTGTGCAATGAAACACAGGTATGAATTATTTCATGTCGCTTTCTGTCTGGACAGTCGTCTCATTGTTCTGGTAGTTTCAGTCTCAAATTTGCGAAGATCTTGGCCTTCATTATTTCATAATCGAACCTCCAGGCGGTGGTTCGCGTACGCTTGAACTGAGTCTGAAGGACAAGGCTGATCTCGTTGAAGGTAACTGAGTATGACAAGGGTTCGACTCTGGTAAATCACATTTAGCTCTCATTGGAGCCATCTTTGTCGATCGTGGGTGGGACTACTGCAGAGCTTTCATCTACATTTGCTTTCTTCCGCGTCTAAAAGTAAGTGGCACTTCACACCCACTTCAAATAAGATGATGTCTAGTCATCCTAACATTTTTTACTAGTCATTAACTTGCCAGAAATTAGAGGACAGATTTCTCAGGTGTTTGAACATTGTGTCTGGGCAGATACGTTGATTTTCTAATGCGTGCTCAGGATAATCCATAATCATCTACTTCATTATGATTTGAATAATACTTATTCTTCAGCATTTCATCGAATCGAAAAAATGGAATGACTCAAAGTCACAACTTCAACAGTGTTGTTTGGCCTTACGTGACGTAGATGCCAGCGACAGTTCAGTGCCGGATATGCCCGAATATCGCACTATCGGTATAGAGGGATCAACAAATGCTCGCCACTATCGCGTGGCCGTCTACTTCAGGTTGTAAATGACCACGGTAATATAAGGGATTAGTAATCCTTTTGCAGAAACATGCGTTTAGCTGTTGGGGAGGCGTGCACTGTGCACCTTGCTCAAATGGATGCAGCTAAGAGAGCTTTGGAAGAATACAAAGAAATGTTCTCATCGCTTTCGAAGAATAATGTGAAAAACGCAGCTAATGCTTTCATGAAGGTTTGTCAATTCTTCCAAATATCTGCTCATGATTGAATTTTATGCTACTCGTGTTTTCTTTGTTTGGAAGATCGATTCCATTTTTGACGTTTCCTCCTCTTGTAATAAAGTCCATTGCATTGTGGTCCATGTTACAATGGACATGGATATAGTAAGATACCGCGCGATTCTGCAGCAATTCTGTGGTGCAACAGACATGTGCAGTTATAAGCTCCGCAACAACATATCATGGTTAAATTGTTTGCACTAAACTATAATGAAAACTCATAACGGTATTTTAAATACCTATTTTCAGAAGCTTCAAGAAGCGCAAGATCGACCTTCCACCTACTTTCCCAACAAACAAGATCGTTCACGACCTCCATCACTACTAGGTTCAGCGACACCGATCTTACCATCGTTTGGAACCGGACACAACTCTACCCCTGGAACTTCTTTGTTTGGAGCTCCACCGGTGCAGCCACAGCGGCAGCTAAGAGAAGCGTCGCCGCTAGTGAAACAAATGTTGAAGTCGGTTGCTGATTCATACAGGCAGTTCTCCGCTGCTTCTTCGCTCCAGGGCGCTATGCTCCAACAACCGCTCCAACCACGGACGTCACTGATGACACCAAGCTTATCCCAAGTGTTCAATCCTATATCTACTATGCCATCATACGGTCCACTATCTATGGGACTAACACCATCTTTTGGTTCTCCAGTGCCAGCTCTTGGTGGTGTTGGTTTTACGCCACCATTATTCCAAATGACTCCGCAGTTTTTGAACAGCCCATCGGTGTCTACAGTAGGTCGCAACGTTTTGCAGTTTGGCCCCATTGTGCAGGCTTCCACTGCACCAAAACCACAACCGTTGATATCTAAAGCTGCCGAGACGGAGGCTGGTTCATCTACCCAGTCGGATGTCAAAAGGCTGCACTCAGCCGCTCGACGAGGAATGAAGAGGCGGCGAGACTCGGATGTAGGGCCGCATAGGAGAGGACCGCATCGGAGAGAAAGTGATAACGGGTTACCGACGGGGAGTAAGGAAGGAATGAAACTTCCTAAAAACCGTTCTAAGTATAGGAATTCTTCTAAATGATGACAAATCTATGCCTCTCTCTCTTTTTTGCATAAAGATTTATTCATACTTTGTGAAAATACATAGTAAATATAGTAAGACAGTCATTCCTGATGATTATAATGGAGTGCTTGAGTCATATGTATTTTTCTGAGTGCTGTTTTCTGCCGTTCATGAGAATACGAGAAAAGATACAGCTGGTCAAGTTGTCCGCTCATAGTGCTGCAGTTCATTCGCATGTCAGTGTTTTGACTTCAACTTGGAAATGCATTTGAACTTTTTCGCATCCGTAATGTGCATGTCGAAATTTTTGCACGGTCTCATCTGGTATGAACACTTAGCGCTTCTCTTCTGTCTTCTAGATGGTGGTCGTCGTAAGCACATGAGAAAAATGTTGATTTCTAGTGTTAGTCAAACTCAGTGTTAGTCAATCTACCTTACCGGTAATCTAAATCGAAATCTAGTCTTCAAAGGCAACATTCACCCAAAATCCCCTCCCGTGTTTTTGTCATTTTCGGGTCCCTTCTGGCTCTGATTACAGATGTGAAAGTCAGAATGAGCAAATCTCTCCTCTCCTCCCCTCCCCCCCCCCCTCACCCCGCCCTCAGCAATGCCTATATGCTGGAAAAAACCGAGATCTGAGATCAACTATGTTTTGCAAACTCCCAGCGTATGTAATGCTATTGCTTCAATTCGAACTGACACTGACATTACAAACAACGCGTTTGAAGTCTGAAAGGTGTATAGACATAAAGTAGTTTGAAATGTGAGAGCTATATAGACATCGTTCCGGATATCAAAGGATTTGGTGAATACAGGTTTTTAGCCAGCTTCCAATATAGCTTTTTTTTTACAGTAATTTTTGTATTTCCCTGGCTAAATGCACCGAAAGTAAAACTTCTTCTGGTTACTAGCATTAGGCTGGTAACCACACATCCCAAGTTCTAGATCAGTCTATTGACAGAGAATGAAATGCGTATTCAGGGCGGTACAGTTGTGACAGCAATGTTTGACACTGATTCAAGTCTTACAAATTTACGACTCCGTTATGTTCTGTGATGGAGCTCCCCAAATTTTCGAAGAATTTCCTATTTCTGCAAATATCGCTTGCGAGTTACGTAAAGGAAACAAAAAATTAAACACATCAAAGCAATCCTCTCCTATAGAAACAAATTCGGTGATTAAAAAAGGTAGGTGTGAAAAGGTGTTTTTGTTTGCTCTGTTTGAAGGTGTCTGAGGTCTAGATGCGATATTTATTAGTTGCACGTCGGAAGTATTATATTAGGTTGTCAAGAAAATAATGTCCGTTTTTATTTGCTTGCTTTAACAAAGCAACCAGACTCAACCCAACAAAGGGTAAGGGGTACTGTTCGATAGAGCAAAGCAAGCTCTACAAGATGGCACTCATGTCTTTGCGCCAAGCTCGATCCACGGAGAGTTCGAACTCAAAATCTAAAGATTTCCAAATGCCCAAAAAATCGAAAAAAATCAGATCTTCGTCCAGATAATTTCTACGGACCTCCCACTCGCTCACATCAATACTATCGATATCTGATATCCATATGTGCGATTGCCGTATTTTTTCCTTGACTAGAATCTGAGAAAACGAAAATTTCCCTGATTTTCTCAAAGCAATGCTGAGCCGTTCTTGCATATGTAGTTCTATACTACAAGCCTAAGTAAGCATAACTGTAGGTTTTCAGCCTATTTCGAGCGGTACTTTTCGAGAAATGTCGATTTTAGCACTGAAACTAAAACGAAAAAATCCAATCTCGTTATTTTTCGAAAACTACCGCTTGGAATGGGCTGAAAATCTACAGTTATACTTACCTAGGCTTGTAGTATAGAACTACACTTGCAGAAACGGCTCAGCATTGCTATGAGAAAATCAGGGAAATTTTCGTTTTCTCAGTTTCTAGTCAAGGAAAAAATACGGCAACCGCACATATGGATATCTGATATCGATAGTATTGATGTGAGCGAGTGGGAGGTCCGTAGAAATTATCTGGACGAAGATCTGATTTTTTTCGATTTTTTGGGCATTTGGAAATCTTTAGATTTTGAGCTCGAACTCTCCGTGGATCGAGCTTGGCGCAAAGACATGAGTGCCATCTTGTAGAGCTTGCTTTGCTCTATCGAACAGTACCCCTTACCCTTTGTTGAGTTGAGTCTGGTTGCTTTGTTAAAGCAAGCAAATAAAAACGGACATTATTTTCTTGACAACCTAATAGTATTATTTCTGCTCTGCATTCAGTTGCCAAATAGTTCACAAAACGTCACATGAACTCAAGGGCTTGAAGCAGGTCAGAAACTGCCCGTTCCTATCCTAAAGCAGAAATTGCTGTTGTTAAAAAAATCTTCTCGCGGGGTGCTGCCAGTTAAGGATTCTAATCTAACTGGTTATATGCATACAAAAGCGCTCTAACTTGAGAAGTACGTGCTTTACAAATGTTCTAGAACAATAGAGACTGAATTCGGAGCGATAGGTTCCGTTATGTCCTTATCCAGAAGACTGAGAAAATCATGCAGTGATTCCAATTTCTTCTGGATCTGTAAGTCAATGAAAGAATGGGAAAGAATGAATGAAAAAATGCGAGAAGAACCCAAATGAAGCAGAACTGTTGTATGCCGTTGATCCTGCACACGTAGCTTTGCTGGAAATAAATATGCTGCTAGAATGAAAGTTTTGTAGTAAAGTATTGAACTTATGAATTGTATTGCTAATTGATTAGAAATAGTGGTCTATGCGATCCTTTGCCTAGTGCTATGCTATGCTCAACTTGATTTTATTAAGGTGTCCCATGATTTTTTGCCGTTTTTATTACAAGCGTCGCCTTTTTGTATCCTTCCTCCAATTAACTTGGCTTGATTAATCATCTGACAGGACAAAGCAAGCTCTAAAAGATGGCTATCAAGATGCTCAAATCGCATTCATGTTTTGAGCTGAAATATAGCAGTCAAAAACGAACTTTACCGTGAAAAATCTAAAATCTAAATCGTATCTTCAACTCAATAATTCCTAAAAATTCCCCCATTTATCCTAGCATATGCTTCACACTTCAAACATTCAATTGTACACTTTCCGTACTTTCCCATGGCCACAAATAAAGGGAAAATTGAGCGGAGTAAAATGGCAAACTCCGCCCCTAGATGTATTGAGCTTCTCCCATGCACGTGATCATATAGCTCATACATACAGAAGTGCGATCATATATTTGTACTCTTTGTAGGTGCCCCAGTTCTCGAGAAGTGGTGACGTTTAGGGTAAAATAGTTTAAAAAAATTATTAGCCATCGTAATAATTGGTGGAAAAATAGTTTAAAACGTTGTCATATGATCTAAAGTTTTTCGACAAGGGACCTATTAAAGGCTATGTTGTTCACCAAATGTGGCAATGTATAGCATCTACATAGGAAATCATGGAAGGGTTAACAACGCTTTACATCTTGTTAGCGCAAAACTGAAAGTAATGCCCTTTGCATGTGTATTACAATGAGAACAGCGTCCACCTAATTCTCAGATTTAGATTTTTGCCACTTATACCTTTCCTTAATTTTGGATTTCGAATATAAACTTTGAGAAGTGCAATCCGAAAGTACCTCTTCCGGCAAGAATTTTAGCAGCGCGAACGAACGAAATGACACTAACATTGGATGCAAGTATGATTCCAGATGCTTAGTATGTGTATTCATTGTCCTTGTCATGTGAAACGTCAAGGATCGAGAAGTGACAAAGATTTCTTCTAATGCACAGGACACGCCTGCTGGGAGAGGAGGGAGGGAGGGGGGGGGGGGGGAGGGGTGCAGCTTTGCGCTCTTAAAAGCAGCAGGCTCATACTCTCGTTTTAGTGGCAATATCTTTGATCTTCTAATTCTGAAGCTCTTTCAAATCTAGTAGTAATCTATCACGTAATTTGTACGTTTTTCGCTAACTAACACAATTTGCCATCAGCGCCATGCAACATCTTTGCGAATCCATATATTTCATATGCACCAGGGGCGAGAATCCTCACATTTATAAAAACTGTGCATGGTGCTTCTAGACAGCGGGTAAACAATATTTGCAGTACTCGAAGTGCAAAAGATTCATTGACTTCGTGCTCTCGACAATGACTTGAAGTGGTTGCGATAAAGTTGAATAAGTTTGAGAAGAATGTAGAAAAAGTGTCGGTTATGTAATCATGTGCCCAATCGGTATCTTTTGACGTTGGCTTGCGGTAAGTATCTTTTATATTTGAAAGATCTCAAAACATTCCTGGACAGAAAAAGAAGACGTCCTATCAAAGCATTTTTCAACAGTATGAAGACTGTGCGGTCTAAATAAGCGCCAGTCTGTTACTCGGCCGAGAGGCGGTCATAATGTTAGGTTGTAACATAACTTCTGAGACACTTTTTTCATTTCTCTAAAAAAACTCTAGAAACTTTGATAATGTCTGATATTTGGCACATATGAGCAGTGTGCAAAGGAATACCTATTGAAATCACTTTCACCTTTACAGTTATGGGTTACAGTATACATAAAAGGCGATGTGACGGCACTCAAATCTCCATTTTTTTCCTCTTTAAAAATTCTCTTATTCTATTTTTTATGCTCTCAGTCTGTAGGATTTTTAAGAACATTAATACTAATATGAGGGAAGTTTGGAAATCTAGGCTATTCAATTAAGCAAGTTGGAATTTTGCCAAGAAAAAAATTCAGAAATATTTTAAGGATTTCGAAAATTGGATCTTCCATGTGTGACATGTACATATTGAAAAGTTAGAGTCCTCCACCCAATTTGGAAAAGAGAAAAAATATTTGGAGAAAGTTATGAGGGTTTTTCCTTCATGTGTTACAAAACTTATGTTACAACCTAGTATTTAACTTGCTGCCAAGGGTGGGACGAAAGAGTGAGTTGTATGATTGCGCCTCTTTTCGAATTTTCTACGCTTATAAGCTGCTAGAAATGAGAAAAAACCATAGATTTCTTTTGGGGAGCATGGCTACCCGTCCATTCTCATGTGGGTCCTAGGCTGCTCACTACTTCCTACATCTTTGATG